ACGAACACCGATGGCCTTTCGGCATTTCTTAGGCTTGTTTTCCTAAATTTTTTGTTTTTAAATGTCTAAATTTTTTGGTAGCATTTAAGAGATTGTTTTGCAGGGTGTGTGGGTGCACGCAATCCGCAACTCTCCGAGTTTGGAAGATGCAATTTTCAGCGGAGATCTCCAGACCACAAGGTTGGCAGGTGCCTGACCGGCCAAGGAATTGCGGTTCTCACACTGTCATTGCTTGTCACACACACACACACGCGTAATTTCATCCACAACTAAAACCTTTGTTTGCAATAAACACGCTTTATTGCCAACAAACGTTCTAAATTTCTTTTCTAAATGTATGGCCTTGTTCCGGGGCTTCGGTTGCGATGTTTTGAGTTCGCTCAATTTACTTGGTGATCTCGGGGCTCCGCGAAACCTAGAGATATGAGGCTAAAATTCACTTGTGGATCACACGTTTAGAAGCCCTTGAGGGGAACTCCGTACTTCGTTGTTAGTGTTCGGTGCAGTTCCTGTGAGTGAAACTATGTCGGTGAGCCCGATACTTAGTCATAGAAGTACACCAGTGGATTTTGAGCCCATGGACTCGTTGGTAGCGGATAAACATGCAGCACTTGCTGATCTCACCTGACTTGGCTTCTGCAGTCTATACCGAAGAATCTGCAATCTGGCGAGCTCTTTCACCTGCGCAGTACCAGGACGTACAGATACGAATCCGCTAGCAAGGTATGCGCGAAACGGGTGTATGAGGGGGTGTTGGGGGGGGGGGGGTGAATTCCAGTACCCAGGACCAATGACAACACGCAGCAATTGACGACTATCGACACTCACCCTCAACTTTGCCTTGCCATCCGATTCCGACATCATGCAAGGGACGAGAACGGTCGTTAACACGACGACGATACCAGCACCATTCCATCCGTCGTGTTATCTAGACGGAAGATCTTTCGATTTGCAGTTCGCAAACGGGAAAATAGTACCCCGAACTACTGTGATTTACCTTTTCAATACTACCTTTAGGCGTATAACTTTGCAAGCAACCGAAATGCCGTAATAGTAAACATCGGCTTTGGTGTGATTGACAGCAATATCTCTGTTACTTTTCCGAGCGCATACATCTGCTTCGCCTAAAAGTAACCTCCTGTGCATATGTGAGAAAACCGGCTTAATGGCCACTTATTGCTAATGGTTTCTGAAAACTGCAAAAAGTATCGTCACTTTGCAAACATCTTTTATCGCACAACCTAGATCAAACCATTGATGCGTCCTGGTCGAGTCCTGTCAACATTTTTGACTGATTTAGTCGAATTCTGAATCTGTTGAAAAGACGCAGGTGTCCGCCCACGGCAGTCTAACGCATATTTCAGAAATGTTACCTTCAAGTACTGCCTTACCTGAGCAGCCCTGAGAGAGGGGGACTCGAAAGCGACTTGTACGGGTCACTGATCAGTCTAGTCAGACATTCCGGCATTTTACCGGGACTCGCGTCTCGTTGGTCTCAAGTCTGAATAGTCATTGGTCGAGAGCGCTAATGGGCGGGACTAAAATGCCCCTGACGTAAGGCCAGCGTCTTCCTAGGAGGCCCTGAAGCCATTCTTCGTCAGCGTGGTCATGCGAACAGTGCAGGATGCCTGCGGCATAGTGCTGACCATTCCCCCGTCGTCTGGTTCGCTTTCGAAATCACTTAAACAGACGCCTACATTCATTTGCCTCTGACATTCTGCGCTGGGCAACTCATCTCTCGCAGCTGGTCTCGGAGAGATGTAACTACAAAGGTCTAATTTGCCGAACTCTATTAATTTTTGGAAGCCCGAATATGTTGCAGATGTCCTGTCTGTAAGAAGAGTAAGTGCCATGAGACCCAGTCATAGCTAACGTTCTCAGATCCGATGTCTGTCCTTTGTAGAGAGATACCCATAAGGAAGGTTGTTGAGATGCGATTGTCGTTAACGATAATGCTCCTAAATCAGAAGTTGGGCAGACAGAGTTAGTCGGACAGGTTTTACTTATGCAAGAAAAAGACAAAGGAAGCAATTATTCTAACAACAAAACCAGTATCAGACGTTGTTAATTTCGGCTAGTTGTGCGTACGTGCGCCTAAGCAATGTCCGGCTTTAGCCAATCGGTGTCAGGGCGTTGGCCAGCCGCTTGTTGGTCCACACGCGGCTCAAACTGCGAGCTGACGAGAGGAGGTTCTATCTCTGTCGCCGCCCTGAATAGACCATCACAAGGCGGCCAATAATGAAGTCTGTTTGTTTTTTTTTGAAAAGCGGAAGACACAGAGTTCCCTGTAGGTGGCTACAATGTACATCCTCCTTACGACAAGTTGCCTTCTTCTGGTTTCAAGTTGGCTTCCGGAGCTTATTTCAACAAGTTTCGCAGCACACAACACTCAGGGAACCCCGATCATCACTGCTCGCCTGTTGTCGTATACACAACTCGCTTCGTGCACGTCTATGAATGCTGCGCCAACGGTGACTCGCCTAATGTGCGTGGCCACTTCGAAGATGATAATATAGCTCCTCCTGATTGCATTCAGGTTCCCTAAACTACAAACCGTATATTTTCCGCATACGGAAATCCATGCATTTCTTTACGGTATTAAAAGAAAATCATATGGGGTTATAAAATCAAGCAGTAGATTTGAACCATATTGATAATTGTACAAGCCAATTTGGTAAATGCAGAGACATGCCGTTTTATGAACAGATATCCCACGATATTAAAAAATATTGCAATTTGACACTTTTCCTGAATCGAATTATGCACTTCCTTTGAATATAACATTGAAAGAAGTAGTCTTCTATAGAATGAGCAAAAGAGTGAATATTGTTATGCACGTTTTCTATAAAATATCAATTGGGGAAGGCGTAATTTTCTGCCGAATGAGCAAAAGCATGGGTATTGTTATGCATGTTCTCTATGAAGTATTATTAAATTTTTAAGGGCGTCGAAAACCAATGAGAAAAATGCATGCTATTTAAGTTGTAATTTTTTACAGATTATAGTTATTGCATGAAGTCGGAAAGAAGTCTATTCGAAAGCCAGCATCCTCAGGTAACCAAATTATCATAGAATTGCGCTGTACAATGATCTGTTTAACAACCCTACTTAGTTAATCTTTTCGATACGTAAACGCACTTCGGAATTTCGGTCGGCAATTCATGAGTTAATCAACCTCCTGTAATTCTAATTCAAACCCTCCTAACCGTGCCACTACCCCCAAACCCCATTGGAATTAAATACAAGAGAACGAGTAATAAGGGTGATCCATATTCTCGTGCCTAACCGCCTTTCATGGTGATAATTTGTGTAGCAAGTCCCACATCCGCCCTGCATCCCACCCCGTCCTGAACATTCGTTTGTATTTCGTGTAAATAATCCCTTCAGGTAATTTTGATAAACAGTTTCTGTCCCAATGCGTTTAATGGACCAACGCACATTCGTACGAGTCTGACGTAACGACGGGACTTCTGTTCTATATCGTCGAGCTAATACATGCTAAGGTCATACAGTACGTGGGCTAACTCATGAAATGTCAACCGAAATTCTGGAATGCGTTTTCGTTTTAAAATGATTAACTTGGTAGGGTTGTAAATCTAATCATCATGCAGCATAATTCTATAAAAATAGCATTACCTCATGATGCTGGCTTTCGAACGAACATCTTTTCATCCACATAGAAAGAGCACGCTTTGTAAAAAATGGCCATTTAAGTAGCACGAGTTTTTCTCATTGATTTTCGACGGCCTTAAATATTTAACTATATTTTACGGAAACCATGAATAAAAGTATTCATTCTTTTACTCATTCGGTAGAAAGTTACGTCTTTTTTTAATTTTATACTTGCATTAAGGGTATGACTCGGTTTTTGAAAATTTGCCCATTTCCCGAATAATTTTGAGCCCGACCTGCCGTTACACTTGCATTCACGGCTTCCAAATTACAAGCCGTGTAGTTTCAACGTACGGTAAACCATATATTTCTCTACGGCGCTAAGAGAAGACTATGTGAGGTTTTTAAAATTTGGCAGTGGATTTAAGCTATATTGTAAATTTAAAAATCCACATTACTAAATTTTTATGCACAATGTTTTATGAAAGGGCATTTCACGGTTATAAAAATCTTACAATTAGAAACTTTTCAAAAACCAAATAATACTCTTCCTTCAAGTATAAAATTCAAAATAGACGGAAATTTCTACCAAATGAGTAAAAAAACGAATATTTTTAAGCATGTTTTCTATGAAATATAATTGAGTATTTTAAGTTATCGAAAATCGATTAGAAAAATGCATGCTACTAATGTAGTCACTTTTTTGCAGTCAGTATTTTGCATGCAGCCGGAAAGAAGTTCGTTCAATAGCCTGCATCCAGAGATAACTTAAGTATCATGGAATTACGCTGGATGATAATTGGTTTTACAAGCCTACTTAAGTAATCTTTTCGAAATGAAGACACATTTCGGAATTTCGATTGACATTTCAACAGTTAGCCCACCTTCTGTGTGGTCCACCTCCAGACCCGCCTTCCCTCGCGGCGGCGTTGGGAACTGCAGAAACTACTGCTGAATTTGCCCTAGCAGGAATTTTCAGTGTTCATGCTGCCTGTGGGCCCATATAGGCGCGGCGAATGTGCTGAACCAAATGAGGAGTCAGGCGCTGAGTCAGGATGCGCTGAGTCCACGCGAGTACATTTGTATGGGAGCACGTCTTGGATGGAAGCCCCCAAGTCGCGTCGGTCACGGTGCCCGGCCGCATCATCCACTGGTCGACAGGCTCAGCCAGTCGGGCATATGAGAGGGACGAGAGGAAGTAAGGTCAGTACCAGGAAATTCGTCTTTGTCACTAACCAGAGCATTCCTCATTATAGTTACTGTGACGCGCCCCAACCTATCAGTTCTGACCTGGGAGGTTGAAAACGTAATAGCTGACTCTACCCTTGGCATGACTGACAGCGGCTTCTTCTTAATGTGCTCACGCTGTCTTCGCGCATTCACCTCACTCATCGGTCTGGTCGACCACTCTTGACCCCATCACGCAGAGGCCAATGAACCAGTGCCTGGAGCACCAAGATACACCAGAGGCATTCGCCTCAACTTCTCTCACTGCACTCGCACATTCACCCACCGCATGAGTTTATTAGGCCACATGCGCATTCAAGAAAAGCTGTGCTAGGCAACCACTAACATCTTCCTTCACTTACATCACTTATATCATCATCATCATCATCATCATCATCATCATCATCATCATCATCACCACCACCATCATCATCATCATCACCACCACCACCATTATCATCATCATCCACCACAACCAGCCAATCGCAACCTCCCACGCACCTGGGAAGTGTGCGTTTCGGCTTCGTTTTCATGCGGCCCCTACTGCATGTGTTATTCGAGTCTGAGGCTATCACGGCGTGTCACGCGCAGTGGCTTGGAAGATTGCGGACTGATGTCCCAACTCAGTCGACGCAGTCTGCCCAGTTGTGTGCGTGTGTAGATGTGGAGTGGCAGGTTTGTGGGCTGAGGGCCAGGCTGAAGCGGTTCCTTCTTAACCTGACCTCTGGCAGTCTCACGCATGTCAGATGTACGCCGCCCAAACACCCTTGTGTGATATCCCGGTTCCTGCGTTTTTGGGACCATATCGTGCATGTGGCGTGCGCAGACAGGGTCACATGATATGTCAGCACCGTGCCCATTTTCCGTACCTGTCAAATGACCGACTCAGACAGTGGCTGGTGCCTGGCAATGGGAAAGGAGACTGAAATCGACAACTCTGCGTATTTCATCCGCTATAAGCAATATGACGCGCCTGAAGCTATTACGGTGTGCTGAAATACGTGGTTTAGAAGTTTCTTAACTGACGGGATAACTCGGACTTCGCAGTTGGCCTAGTGTTGTGTCTTTGTGTGGAGTGGCCGGCCGGTAGTCTCAGAGTCAGGCCGCAATTACTCCTTCCGAGTTCGGCCTTTATGGTACTCACACTCCGTGGGATTCGAGCCAGGTGTGACGGTATGCCTAGGTGCGACTCAGGCCATGCCAGTCACCCTTTTGTTGTTGGTTAAAATCCTAGTGATTTGCTGTGTGGACAAGCGGAGTGTGGAGTGGAATGCCAGTGTGCTGGTTCGACCGTGCCACCTACCCGCGCCCTCGCCCGCCTTCGGTCTTCTTGACTGTGCCTTTACAGGAGGCCAAGGTGGGTGAGGAGTAGAGTGTGCGGTAGGTACTACGCAAGTCTCCATTCACTATAAACTAAATCACGCGAAAGTCAACGCGTCTGGTTTACCTTGCTTTGGAGAACACAGTGGACGTCGTCAGCAACGACGGTCGGACTGTTAGGTGTGCGGTCCTCACTGTGATCTACTTCACCGAGAACGAGGAACTGGTCCGGTGTGTGGGGCGCGTAGACTGGCCCTTCAAATTGGTCACTTGCTGCCTTTGCACGTTCTCTCGGTCGTCTTGACGCTGTCTTGTCATCAAAACAAGGTGAGTGAGGGACGAGAGGGCGTAGTAGATGCGGCGAAAGCCTGCCTTGCTACTGACGTTAAAGCAGTCGGTGCTGCTGCCATTCCATGGCATGCACCGGTGGGCGTCGTCGTTTACGACGGCCGAGCTGTTGCGCATCTGAATTATGAATAAATTATAAGTATTTTTTTATCTCATTACTTTGTTTAAATGTCATTTTCTATGCACGTGCTGACTATATCAAGTAACAGGTCAGATGTGGTTATTTAGCCACACCTGAAGTAAACAAACTACAGCCACCTGCCGTACGGGACCGGTAGGAATAGGTATTTCTACGGATGCGGCCGGGAAACGCACACACAACGAGGTCAAGTAGTTGTATGCAAAAGAAAAGCTATTGGGAATGCCCGTTTGTACTTTGATATGTTGAGAAATAATTTTCCTAACCCCTAAGTCTAACCTTGACCTCGAGCCCTAACCCCTAACTCTAACCTCTAATCCTAACCCCTGACCCTAACCCCTAACTATAACCCCTTACTATAACCCCTTACCCCAACCACAATCATATTGTATCCACCAGGTAGAGCTTCATAACCACATCTTACCCAGTTACATTTATCACCCCTCACCCTGTATTTAGCTAGTTTAACTCCATTTAAATGAGCTTTGTATGTCAAAATAGAGCAGAGCCTTTTCAATCTTGGGGAAGTGGGTCAGATCTGCAGCTCCTATAAGCCAATGCATAAATTTCCGGTTTAGGATCAAAGTGCCGCCAATGAAAATAAACGTCCCTGGAACGCTCGGAAAGTGGGAACAGATGCCCCTTGGGTAAAAATTCCAGGACATGTCGTAGCGGTTAGGGACAGGATGTCCAACCGGTGAGACAGGACTGCAAGGATGGAGAACCCATAAGATGCTCAAATATCAGGCCATTGGGGTCTTTCACGCGGAGAAACGCCAGCGACACACCCGCTCTGAGAATTCTTACCGGGCCTGAAATTGCGTTTATAAGTAGCATCAAATTCAAAGAAACGGCGGCAAGGCAAGCCTCGTGAGTGACGACATCCGCCACGCGCCGTACGGGGTGGGCACAGAATCGGTAAATTCTCACTCATTGGTCGTACGAGTCGGCGTTTATCCAAGGCAATACGGGGACACCTCCCGGCATGGCTGGAAAAAGGCAAAACTAGGAGCATAAGCAACGCCATTCTCGCGCATGTTGTCAATTCCGGACATCATGTAGACCCCAGTGAAGCGTTTCGTGTAATCTATAAGGTCCCATCGAGCTATTCTAAACCATTGGGACAGCGCCTGTTGGCAACAGCAGAGGCGGTCGCCATCAGGTTGCGAAAACCAATTTTGTACGACTACGACTCTCCCGCCTGCTTCCGCTCTCACCCGCCCCTGACACTGACTGCTAT